CTATACTGTACCTGTGCATTTCGTTTTTCTTGCCTAAATGTAGAACCATACTCTTTTCACCATTGAATTTTATGTGATCATAATTCAGATGCTTAGCATATTTATGACCATTCCTCGGTCCCAGGGTTATGTGATCCCCTTTTATGACCTTCACACAAGCAAAGTCAATGGGGAAGCCAGATTCATTTAACAACTGGGTTACTAACTTATCAACTGCAGTAATTCATTTAACAACTGCAGTAAGAAAGGTCATAAAATGAGGCAAAACGCAACTTAATAAATGTCTCAATGGAAATTTTGGGCTCCATTGTGGTCATAAGTTGAGGACTATCTGTATCCATACTAATTAATGCTAAGAACACTTTTTTGGATCTGCGTCTGCTATAACGTACATTCTTAGTTTGTTCCTAGTAAGGTTAGCAGACACTTGTTAGTACTACCTGTTTGCCTGGATCTAAGCATTACTCTAAGTTTGTCCAGTATGTTATTCCCCAAGACTGAGAATTTTCAAAAGCAAACCAAAAGTAGCTTAATATGTGATTTCAGGGGAAAAAGCATTTATGAATGATAACCATGATAACTTTAGTCAAAATACTTCTATGCACCAGGTATTAATGTTTAAAGAATTATAGTAATGTAGAATAACTTCCTCTAAATTAGCACTTTCCAGATGTATTGAGTAAAAGATCCAGAGTTCCAGAAACACTAGTTTTCATAGCTAGAATTCTGAGGATTGCAAATACCAGAAAGACAGTAGTTGGAAAAGTCTGACAAAAAAGGAAACTACTAAAGGAAACTACGTAAAGGAAATTACTAAAAATAAATGGCATGTGTGATTATGTTCTTCAGCTCTTCTTTTAAATGTGTCCAACTTACCTGTATGCATTGAAAAGATTCCGTTTCTCATTTATTTCTTTGCAGTTCCCATGGCTGGCACATTTGAGAAAGAAGGTTTTTGTGGGGAATTTGAGAATGCAATCTTGATCTGTTTTGCAAGACAGCTCCTCAGTGCTCACATCATCCAGGTCTGTAACTTTCAGGAGCCCATTCACCATAACAAATTGTCTTGGTTGGAAATCTAGAAGAGCAATGGAACCTAGAGGAGAATTTGCCAAGTAATTGAGCAGTTCTACCAGATCCAGACAAATCTGAAAGAGAGATGGTAAACAAATAAAGAGGTTTTCTTACATTATAACATCAGCAGTCTACTTTTCTTTCTTCCTACTATTTTGCAGCTTAATGCACAATTCATTGGAATTACAGCATGCCATCTGCTATGGCAAAAACGTAAGCTCTTCGTGTATATGTTCATCTAATGTAAACATGTAATGGAATTAGTCAATTTCCCCATAAATATACATTCTAAGTTGAACAGACTACTAGTAGTATACTGTAGATAAGTTGCCTTTGAAACAGTCCAGAAATGTCCGTGCAGAGAATTTTCTCCTGCCAAAATATGTTTACAGATATATTGACACTGATGTGTTACAATACAAAAATCTTCCAGGCCCAAAGATTTATATGAGCTAGAATGTCTGCAGGAATGGCACATCTATAGGATTTACACAGAAGTTTAACATCATATTTTTAAGAGCAAAGATCTTCCCCAGACCCTTCCTTCTATCATGGAATGATTCAGGATTGGGTTTATCACTACTGATAAAACCCGCTTTGTCTTTGTCTCCTTACTTTAAATCGCTCTTCCCAAGGGAGCTGCAGAAGCTGAATCATCTCCAAAGGGCTTCCAAGCTCCAACATGGAAACCACTTTCATTTCTGGATATAGGCTATTATTATAGCATTTTCCATGCAGCTGTCAGGAGAAAAACAGAATGAAGTATTAATACAGATGCAAAATATAGAAATTATTCTTAGAAAAAAAACAAATATATTTTGCTAATGGTAAGAAAGGCCAAATGAAGACTTGTTTAAAAACTCAATTGCTCTTGCTACAGTAAATGTATGCCTTACATAGTTGAACCCAAGCATGGTGGTAGAAGTTATAATTTATCAAGTTAATTCATCTGCATCTTGAAATTGAGGGTTTATACCTGCCAGATAACTCTTTATTCTTACTTATGTTTATTTACCACAAAATCAAGCAAGAGTAATTTTCTTTCAAAGAGAAAATTGCTTTTTGTGGGTTTCCTCCAATTACAAGTTCTGTAGGGTCATAAACAGTAATCGGACCAAGAAAGTGACAGGTAACCATGGGAGAGGAAACATCTTGAAGGCTGCTTGCACCAGAGCCCCAGGAGCCAAACTGGGCTGCCCGAAGAAAACTTACAAGCAAGGCATATAAGCATGAAAATTTTCCCATTGCTGTTTCCCAACATATAGTATTCCAGAATGGAACCCTGTGACCCTCCAAGAATTTAAATATGATATTTTTCATTATTGTTCTTTTTTTTTTGACAACGGTATGGCAATGGTTTGTCTCTGCCTTTCTCTGACATGCTCTTGTCCACTTCTTAGTCTAACCAACAGTCCTAAAATTCCCATATGGTCGTCAATCCAAGAACTCAATAAGGCCAACCATGCTCAGTTTCCAAGACCTGCCAAGAATCAGCACAGCACTTTTAAAGGCTGGGGATGTCCAGGCATCACAAGAATAACAATGCCAGCAGCATCAACCAGCACCTTCAGTGGGAAGGATGCAGCACACTTGCAGATTATCAACATCTCAAGACTCGCAGATTCATCACCACTGTGATACTCAAGAGGTTAGGCAGATATTTGTGAAACATGGCCACCAAAAGCCTAACTCACCATTGATTTCACTAATCATCTTTAAAATCATTAAACTAAACTGCCTTCATATTTTAGAGTAGCAAATTTCTGGAGATTACAAGGCGCATGTTGAAGTATTTGAATAATATAGCAGAAATCCTGCATTTTACCCCAAATATACATTGTCCCCTCCAACAAATCCATTAAGTTTTTTCAGTTGATCACTCATTACCTGACTGATTTTATGTGTGTTGTACCTAAAGCTACAACAGATCCCCATTAAACTAATCAAAGGAATTTCAAAATAGGCATGCTTGTTGCAGCGCCCACAAAACAATTCACAAAATAAAATATAACTGTAACATTTCCTCCTAAAAACTAGGATTGGCCCACACTCAAAACAAGAATGTTTGCATGGCCACAGCTTAAAATCTGGACATGTGATAATCAGTGGACTCATTAATTTTATTTAAAAATTTATATGCTATTCTCTGCCGTAAGTACTCAACTGATGTTGATATCCATTCCCAGTATGACAATGAGCTACACTAATCGGGGATATGAAAGTAGGATTGGGCTATTACCTCACATTGTGTAAAGATCAATAATCTTGGATTAAGCACGTTCAACCATCACGTGGTTGAAAGTGGGAAGAAGGGCAATTAGTAAAATATCTTAAGAAAGGTATAGCATTTACAACTATCCAAAACATCCAGTTAGGCTCCTAAGCTGGATCTCCTGCCTTTCTTTCCGAGCGCGCAGGCGGGTACTACGTGCCTTGATGATCCCTTCGTGATCCAGAGTCTGCAACAGGATGGTCTCCTTCAACAGCTTGTAAGCAGCGAGCTGGAAACAACCTTCCGCGTGGCCGTAGCGTTGAACACAGCGACTCACGTCGCTGCCTGCCCAGTGCACGGATTTCAGGGCGATTTCCTCGCCACCGGGCGACAGAACTGCTCTCAGCACCAACTTCGTGATGCCAGCGCCTACCACGCCCACATCGCTCAGGCCGCTCAGTTGCGCGCAACCCAAAGGCTCTGCGACCTCTGCGCGCCTTGCGGCGGACGGAGAAGCGCGCGCTTGGGCAGAGGCTGCCAGGCAACTCAGGTCTTGCTGCCGCTGTTCCAGCTCCCTCATCAAATCCAGAGGCGGCTGGGAATCGAAGAGCCTCCAAGGGCCCGAGAGAACAAGGGCCACGGTCAGCAGAACGGGCGAGATCAAGAGCGCAAGGAGCGCCTCAGGACCCGGCATGGCGAAGAAGGAACGATGCAATGCAATGCACTGGCGAGCAGCTGGCCCGAGTATAAGGCTGAGTTTGGTGAAAGGAGAAAGGTGAGGCTTCAGACAAGGAGGCGGGTTTCCAGCAAGGAACTGCCCACCTTTCAGACTGGCCTTGCAAATGATCGGGTAGAAAGCAAGATTGCAAAAGTAAGAGGTCTCCGCCCCCAAATTATGCACATACGCGATTTGGAGGACACACACTCTCTCTCTCTCTCCCTCTCTCCCTCCCTCTCTCCCCTCCCTCCCTCCATCCCTCTCCCTCTCTCTCTCCCTCTCCCCCCTCGGGGCGGGGGATGGGAGGCGAACCCAAACCACCTTTTTTCTTTTCTCCAGTGACAAGGTGTAATGGTGCGACGACTGTTCCAAGAGGGGATTTGGCTTGGCTACGAGGTTCACATGGATTAATTGCAAATATCACTTGAAGATGACCCCCGACATCCAGTGGTGAACGGTGGCCCATCGCCTATCTTGTCAACCCTCCGGAATAAAGCCTCCAATTTTTTTTTTTTNAAAATGAAGGCTATTGAGTCTAAATTTCCAACACTTGCACTCAGTCAACTTGTGAAATCATATCTCTCTTTATAATTAAGTGGAGGGTTCTGTATATAATGTATATTTCACTTTCAACACACTCACCCTTAAGTGCTGAATTTTTATTCCTGGCAAGAGTTGTTAGAATTTTAGCATGAAGATTGACAACATGTATTTATAGAAAACAATCCTCATTGTTCTCTAGCCAGAAAATGATCTCCTCTTCTTTAGTGCCTTTATTCTTTGTAATACATCAGAAATGATGAGAGACATTTCCAGTTAACCATTTGATTCCCTGACACTTTCTAGATATGAGAGATTACATCTTTCAGAAGTCTCGGTGTGGCAATTGACTCTGTTGAGAATTCTGAAATTTATGGTGCAACACATTTAGAAGGCAGCTTTTCCTAATCTGGGCACCATCCTGAGGTGTGGATGTCATCAGCTCCCAGAATTCCTGAGTTAATTAGCCACTGCTGAGAATGCTGCGATCTGAAATCCATACACCTAACATTCTGAATACTATGGCTTGAAGTCCAAATCCTTGACATTCCTGAACACTGTGGTTTTTTTCATAAGCCATAATTTTGCACCAAGATTGGCTATCTGTGCCCACATTTTAAAATATCTAATTTCTACTGAATCCAATAAAAATGTAAAGTACTTTGAATTTTCCCAATGAAATAGAGAGACATTCCACAATTTGATTTACTAAGTGGTATCTCAAATGTTTTATTATTGATTTATTTCAGTGAACCAATTTATTTCACAAACACTTATGCTGAGCAATGTGCAACAGAGCTAAAAACAGTTTAGATACATAAAAAATATAAAAAACTAACTTAAAACAAAGAATAATAGATGAAGTGATGTTAAAAATAGTGGAGCCACCTCACTATTTCATCTGTCCCCTGGGGTCCCTATTTATTCCCTGATTTACACAGAATTATTTCATCTCTGATCTTGCAAGCATATATCAATATGCTTTCCCACTGAAAATAGCTATTTTCAGTCAGCAATATTTACTTCACTGAAAGGAGGAAAAAGATTTAATCTTTATGTACTCAACTCAACCAGCAATGTGGTGTAGCCAAGACAGTCTTGGGCTGTATTAACTGAGTGATAGAATCAAGATCACATGAAATGTTAATACCACTTTATAATGCCTTGGTAGGATTACATTTGGAATATTGCATCCAGTTTTGGTCACTATGACATAAAAAAGATGTTGAGATTCTAGAAAGAGTGCATAAAAGAGCAACAAAGATGATTAGGGGACTGGAGGCTAAAACATGAAGAATGGTCGCAGGAATTGGGTGTGTCTAGTCCAGTGATAAGCAGATTTAGGGGTGACATGATAGCAGTATACCATTATTTGAGAAGCTACCACACAGAAGAGGGGATCAACCTGTTATCCCTTAATCACCCAAAGGCAGGACAAGAAGCAATGGATGGAATCTAATGACGGAGAGAAGCAACCTAGAAATAAGGAGAAATTTCCTGACAATGAAAACAATTAACCAGTGGAATGGCTTGCCTTCAGAAGCTGTGGGTGCTCTGGAGGCTTTTAAGAAGTGCTTGAACATCCACCTATCTGAAATGGTATAGGGTTTCTCCTGCTTGAGCAGGGGGTTGGACTAGAAGACCTCCAAGGTCCCTTCCAACTCTGTTATTCTGTTCTGTTCTGAGACCTTTTACACCACCACAGACAAACACCTGCCTATCCACTCAATAGGTGGATCATCATGCCAAATTGAAAGTAAACATCTGGCTGACTGTGTAACAAATTAAAAGGCCAAATCTAGTTCACAGCTCTGTGTAAAATTTCTTGCAAGTAGCCCCATTTAATTGGGATTAAGTATGCATTGAAATATGAGTAAATATGCATATGCACATATTTTGTTATTGTTCTGTAGAGCACAGCAGTTCCCAATTATTCAGTGGGATGAAGTGTTGAAATGGGAGCCTGTTTGGCTGCAACCTCATAATGTAACAATTAGAAGAAGACAATACAGTTACAAAAGAGTAAATTTTCAGAGCCCCAGGGACCGACGCCAAGAAAAATCAAATATTCTGTCATTTCTACTGCACTGCAATCACAAAGAGAACAGTGGTATAAAACAACATCAAAACTAGCCAGGATGATTAATTGATAACAGAATAGGTGACAAAGCTCCCAGAGGTTGGTGGGAAATAACTTCCATAAGAGAAAACATAATGTGGAGAGAAAAAAAATATATTTCTGGCATTCAAGGAATAATGATTTGTTCCAGTTCTGAACCCTTTGAGAACATTTTTTGCTGTGTTTTGTAGAATGGCTTCTGGTTTGTGCCCTTTTAATGACTTCTCACTTAATTGAAAGACAATATGCCAAAAATTAGTAACAACATAATTTTGATTCTTTGATTGAATTTTCCCCTTATGGTAGTGGTTGTGGGGAGCCAATGATATCTCAGCAATCTCTTTTTGGTCAAGTCATGAGGACCTATTTCAGCTGCTAAAGGGCATGCTTCCAATGCGAAATTCCTGCCAAATGAGATTCTTTCTAAATTCCAGTCAATTAAAATACACTTAAAGGGCAGCCGCTTTGGAGCAAAACACAAAGCCAAAAAGAAAAAAGAAAAAAACCCACCCCTGCCTACAACTTTTGAAGGCATCATCAGATGAAAGTCACTCCGCTTGTCAAACAAGATAATTAAAGTCACACATGGCTGTTATTATTTTTGTCCAAGGGGTGGAATCTCTGCGCGGCGCCTGTGTGCAGTCAGAAACTCAGATGACATGTTGGGCACCACCTTAAAAGAGACAAAGGCAGGAGTGTTGGTTCTGGTGTCAGTTTTCGGCTCTTGGTTCTTTAAACCATGTGCATTTGGCTGCCAGCCCTTGGTGGAGCTGCATACAAATATTGACAGAACACAGTGGCATTTGTTAAGCTGCATCTTGGGAAGTGAGCGATTAAAACTCTAGAGGAAGATCTTAGCACTTTAGAACTTGCCTTCTCTCTCCCCTTCTCCTTCTCCCCCCCTCACCTTCACAGCTTTCAGAGAGTGAAAGTGAAAATGTTGAGCTTAGCCAAACAGGAGCACTGACCTTTTCCTCTGACTTGTTCTAGGTAATATCCGATTTCTTTGACTTCTTCTTTTTGCCACACATTTAAAATCTCTTTGTGGAAGGAGGAACTTTTAAAACAAAGGAAGGGGAAGGTGTGATGGTGGTGAAAGGAAGTATTAATGTTTGCAATTTAATCTGAGAAGTGATGAGATTATCTTGAGCTAGTAGAGAGAGAGATGACATGTGCCAGAAACTGTGCACCATCCAATATTAGTCTTACCTTTCCAAAGTTCCATTTTTAGGGGTTGAGAAGTTCAGGAATCTGAAAGATATTTTAAAGGTACCTTTTGACCCAGTAATGAAAACTTGTGAAATTCCCTTTGGATCTCCTCTGAATGGTCCTCAGCTGAGATTCTGAAGTTTATTGCCTGGTTTTACTTGTGAAACTTTTTTTGTTCCATCTGAATAGTTAATCACTGTCTTAGTTTTAATGCATGCTAAAGGCTTCAGAAAAACCTGTTTGACCTAAGGTTATTATTTAACTTGAATGGCTTTTGGATAGGGAAATGTTTTCTTTATGACATATGGTAAGGTGAAAATAAAATCCCTTATGGAATGACAGTATGGGATATTAAGTAACTTCCATAACATAACTGAATATGCTATTCATGTTTTTTTTAAATGATAGGTTAAAAATTGCAATATTTGGTGAGTTTATTAATAGTGTTCCATCCAGTTTCTTCCATGTAGAAACCATATTGTAAGTCTTGAAGTTGTTTGTAAGAGTAAGCGAGACTCTCTCATGTGAAGGGATTATGTTACCACAGGACCAATTTATGTAAATGTGCCTTGTCAATCTCTAATGTCCAAGTACCATTCAGTTTACATCAACCTGAAACATTTAAGAAGACTTTTGCCAAAATAAATTCTGGCACTCCGCAAAATAATATTTTTAAAAACAATTTTCCAACCAACTTCATCATACGAGGTCAACTGTTTCTTTATCCTTTGATGTATTTTGGAAAATGTACAAATGCTTGCTTAACTTTTAAAATCTGCAGTTGGAGAACTGGAATGCTGCAAGCGTTCTTTTGACTGAATGTCATTTATTCATGAAGCTAGTTCAATCTGGTTCAATGGAACAGCTTGTTTCAGTCAGTACTGTGCATCATTACTGTGAAATGAAACTGGTTTTATAGCAAATGGTTATCAGCATAGGCTGTCCACTTAATGCTGAGTGATAGGAACATAGAGCAAAATACCAAATAAATGGAAAAGCATGTGGGAATATTACCCTTAAAAATTCGCAATATGGAGCCAAAAATATATAAACACCACCCCTCTCTCTCATACACATATCAACATAAACATATACGAAATGGGATTATGGTGTTCTGACACCCAGTCCTGCTCTGCCAAGAAGCAGAGGGGAGATATTATCTACATGTCTCTCTATTTCCCTATTTTTATCTTCATAATGCTTCCGTGATACAATTGTAGTGTTTTTTTATGGTCTGCAGTCATCCGGTG